TGTTTCTTCTTAATGGTTTTCAAAGTGACATTCTTTCCTTTTTTCCAATCTATCTGGCACCCTGTACAACCCATAATTTCTGGTCCATCGAAAGAAAAGGGATCAGAATCATCCGGTTCTGACCTCATCCTATATGTCTTTGTCAACACTTCATTTGTGAAATATTCATTGGGTTCAAAGTGAAATTCTAAGACAGAACCCATGGGCTGGCCAGCATCTGAGAACTTCACTTTAATATCTTTCAAGTGCTTCAAAATAGGTTCATCATGTTCCTGAACCATATCACTGAGCAAGTCAACGTTCTTAAAAACAGTCAACCAGAATTCAGGAATTCCCTTGGGGTCTTCTTTTTCTTCATCCTTTTTCTCATCTTCAATCTTGGCTTTTTCTTTCAGCTCCTCGGAAATTTCATCCTCCTCGTCTGGTTTCCATTCACATTCTTCTTCCGTAGGTTCATAAATTGCATTAATAATCTCAAATCGCTTATCAAATAGAGGCTGATAGAGAACAGCATACTTTCTTTCAAGATCATGAACTTCCTCATAGAATTTGGCTTCTATCTGTGCACATTTAACTTGAAGATTTTTGAGAGCATTCACTCGTCTTTTAACTACCCTAGGCAAGCTTTCAATGTATCCTGTTGGTGTTTCTACCAGACCATCAAGTCTTCCTTGAAGGGCTGCAAGAATCTGAGGATTTTGCATCATCTGAACAGTCAGCTGACGCGCTTTGATTTTTGTTTCTTCACCAGTTTCTTCTTCTTCTACTTCTTCAACATCATCCAAATCTTGATCAAGTTCAGGCGGTCGGAGCTGCGCAGGCAGTGACTCAGGGCGGCGGCAGGAGGAGCAGGAGGCGGGCCGCGAGCAGATGGCGCTAAAAAAGGGTAATTTTCTTTTTAATATTCAGTACTCAGCTATGCAGTTCAATACTTAAGTTTAAATTTAGAAAATATTGATGAAAACATATTTCTACTTTATAAATTTTACACATATATGCATATATAGAGAAAGCTGTATATTCCTCTGAATTTTTCAGGAAAAGTACTGAAATCTTTTTGAATATTCAGGGTTGTTATTCTGAGAAGCAATTATGTAATTGTGCTGAAATTCCTACAGTTATAGCCTGGAGGTCTTCTGTAAGATACAGCACCATTTAGCCTTATGCAAAATTATCTCAGATTGTGCTTTTTGTGTTTCTGTGTTCCCCTCTTTTTGTTGTCAACGATCACTTCCTAATTGTATAGTTTGTTTTCTGAGAATTTCTTCCTTTCCCTTGTTATTTTCCCCGAATATCATGTTTATGTGATCGGAAACTAAATTACTAAGCTAATTAGAATTATCTTTAAATTAAAAGTAACCTTCAAGAAAAAGATTGAGGGATAATAGTATGAAAAATTGTTTATGTTTTAGTAAATAGGTATTTAGACAACTATTTAGATAGTTCAGAATTTTTAAAGAATATTTATTTTTATTTCAGGGAAAGAGAGAGAGAACACACCTGTGAGGTGGGGGGGAGGGGAAAAGGGCAGAAGGAGAGGGAGAGAGAATCCTCAAGCAGATTCTCCACTGAGCATGGAGCCAGATGTGGGGCTAGATCCCAGGACTCTGAAATCATGACCTGAGCCAAAACCAAGAGCCAGCCACTTAACCGACTGAGCCACCCACACACCCCTGTTCAGAATTTTTTTTAAGCTGAGGTCATATTGGTAATGTGTTGCTATATTCCATTTCTCATGTACCTATGTACATTCAAATATATCTATAGATATAACTCTCTGCTTACCATTCCAGGAACTACTTCTTTCAATGCTAGTATGAATTATTGAAATCTAGTTTAATATCCTTTAGAAAAAGTAAATAGTTTTTTCAGGGATGTTTACATTTCCTCATCCTTCTATTACTGAGATTATCAAGGATCCATTATAAGTGCTCTCGATATTTTTATTTACTTCTGGATGCACAGCAAAATCTTCAGGAGTATTAGAACTGGACTTCAAAAAAAAAAAAAAAGAACTGGACTTCAGTCAGTAAGCACAACTAGACAAAAACCGCAGGCTCAAAGCCACATAGCCCCTTTATCCACTACAAATTCTCTTTTTAAAGGTGTTTTTCCCTTCTTACTTCCACCATCCCTTCTAAATGTGTAAGAATTATTAAGTGATAATATGTCAATCATAGTTCTTTTTTTTAAAGATTTTATTTATTTATTTGAGAGAGAGAGAGAGAATGAGAGACAAAGAGCATGAGAGGGAAGAGGGTCAGAGGGAGATGTGGGACTCGATCCCGGGACTCCAGGATCATGACCTGAGCTGAAGGCAGTCGCTTAACCAACTGAGCCACCCAGGCACCCGTCAATCATAATTCTTAAAGATAAGTTATGTGCTTAAGGAGGGGCTGGGGAAATAAAGACAGGTTGCAGTAGAGTCATGGATCTCAGTGCATTGGGTATTATCATTATATAAGAGCCTGAATTCTGACACTTGTGTGCAATATTAAAAATAGAAAACAAGCACCAGCAAAAATCAAAAGTTAATGCTGCTACAGGCTTATTGCCAGTTTGAGCTGTATACTGCTGAGCCATTGGTCTCTGAGGTTTTTGAATGACTGTAGTGTGTGGCATTGCTTAAAGGAAAGTACATCTAGGATAGATCTTTAGTCTCCACTGAATTACTCAGAACTGGAGATATTGAAATTCAACACAGGATTATCATCATTCACTGATACACAGGGAATTATCTAGCTGTGATGGCTAGATAATGTGAACACTACAGCACTATCTCTACTGAGAAAGAATTTCATGAGAAATGCAGAGAATGAGGTTCTACAGACAGAGACTATATTTTGCAACATGTATCTATTAATGATATTTCTTAAATTGATTATATCTACCATGTTCATATTACTTAAGAATAAATTAAATATTTCAAATCAAACTACAGTTTGGAATGCAAAATGGCAAATCATAGAACATAGGTTTAACACAGGAAGTAACACTGGAACAATTGTTTGCAAAGATTTATTTATGTTGTGACTTGCTAAAAGATAATTTTAATAATCTAATTTTAATTTTCTATATTTTAGTACTTTCTTCAAAGTTTGAAAATATATATTTTAAAATATTAAAAAAGATAAGCAATAAACATTTTAAAACAAAACAATGATTTTGCTGAATGGTCATAGTTATTCATATAACTTTATGTGTGTAAATGATATATTACATATTTGATCTTTTAATTTTTATCATTAACGTTGTATGTAAAAGTACTTTTTAAAATAATTATATGAGAAAGAACACCTTTTCAAAATAACTCTGAAAAAAATCCTTGCTCACTGACAGCTTTCAAGCTCAAGCTTTTGGTACTTGATGAAAGTGTTACATATGGACATGTTCTTTACCTCTTCTACCATTATTTTTCTTAACATCTTGAAATTGCAAATACTACTTCTCACCAAAATTATTTTCTCCTTTTAGTGCACTGAATTTCTCTCATTAAAAAAAATAATAATAACTAGGAAGTCACTATTACTGTTTCATTTCTCCTTAGATGACATTTCAAAATTTTAACATTACCTTTTCCCTGAAATATCACTATTATCCTAGTTTTGAAATATCATAGATATTTCCCATAATTGATAGTAATGTATACTAAAATATATTCCATTTATATCAAACATCATTGAAGATAAGAAGTGAGAGCAATGTACCAACCCACCAACACATTTAGTCTACTGATTTTTCATTGTCCAAGTATTAGAGAATTTACATTCTCAAGAGATAAAAATATGATACCTTTAGAATGAAAGAATGAAACTGAACCAGTTTCTCACACCATACACTAAAATAAACTCAAAATGGATTAAGGACCTAAATGTGAGACCTGAAACCATAACAATCCTAGAAGAGAGAACAGGCAGTATTCTTTGACACAGGCCATTAGCAACTTACACAACTCAACACCAAAAAAAAAATAATAATAATCAAAAAATGGGCAGAAGGCATGAATAGACATTTCTCCAAAGAAGACATATAGATGGCCAACAGACACATGAAATGATGTTCAACATCACTCGTTATCAGGGAAATGCAAAACAAAACTGCAATGAGATATCACCTCACACCTGTCAGAATGACTAAAATCAAAAACACAAGAAACAATAAGTGTTGGTGAGGATGTGGAGAAAATGGTGGAATGCAAACTGGTGCAGCCACTGTGGAAAACTGTATGGAGGTTTCTCAAAAAAAAACAAAAATAGAATTATCCTATAATCCAGGAATTCTACTATGGGGTATTTACCCAAAGAATATGAAAACACAATTAAAAAAAACATATGTGCCCCTATGTTTATTGCAGAGTTATTTACAATAGCCAATTATAGAAGTAAACCAAGTGTCCATCAATATGAGTATATATACATACAGTGGAATATTACTCAGCCATAAAAAAGAGTGAAAGTTTGCCATTTGCAACAATGTGGATGGATCTACAGGGTATAATGCTATGTGAAATAAGTCAGTCACAGAAAGACAATACCATATGACTTCACTCATATGTGGAATTTAAGAAACAAAACAAATGAACAAAGCAAAAAAAAGACAAACCAAAAAAAAGAGTCTCTTAACTATAGAGAATAAGCAGATGGTCACCAGAGAGGAAATGGGCAAAGGGACATGTGAAATAGGTGATGGGGATTAAGGAAGTGCACTTGTCATGATGAGCACTGAGTAATGTACAGAATCGCTGCATCACTATATTGTATACCTGAAACTAATATAGCATTGTATGTTAACTATACTGAAATTAAAACAAAACAAAGCCAAACAACAAAAACAAACAAACAAAAACCACATTATATGGATTGAAATAAGCCAGACACCAAAGAATACATACTTCATAGAAATTCAGAAGTAGTGGAAACTAATCTGTGACATTAGAAGTCAGGAGAGTGGTCACAGTATCTGGAAGAGTGCCCAAAGCAGAAAAAAAATTGCCAGCTTCATGCAAGACTAAAACAATTAGCACATTATATTTCTTGGCCCAAGGACTGGTTCAAGTATTTGAGGCTTTGAAATACTATAGCCAATCATAAGGAACACTAGCCTGAGGAATTAGCACACAAAAAGATGAGCTTGAAAATAATGAAGAGTAATGTGGACAGACAGCAGATGATAATGTGGACCTGTGGATCAAACCATGCCAGAAGTCCTGCATTACTTCTGAACTTTTCTATTTCATGAATCCATAAATTCATTATTGCTTAAGGCATTTGAGTTTGGTTTTCTGAATTGCAACTGAAATCATTTCAACTAATATATGTTGCTATAATCTCCATAAACCTTATTTTTAATGGCTGCATAGTATTTTATTTTAATGATATGCTTTACTTAACCATTCTCCTAATATTTAGTATTTAGACTGTTTAATTTGAGCTATTATTAAGTCTGCAATAGACTTGGTAATTAAAAAAAATATGATCTCTTTACAAACAGCCACACTTGAGTGTATGGCTATACAACATTCTCTAAAACATTTTTATGAGCTACTTTTTCCTGTTCCCCTACAGAGCTCAAAGTAGGCATAATCAAACCATGCTACACTTCTACCAAATTAGAGATGTCATTATTTAATTATTCTATCACACAGTCTTCACCTTCATGACCAACATTATTAATGAGCTTTCTTTAGAAGAATATATTTAAAGCAAAGAAACTGAGTTTTGCTCACATTAGAAAGATCAAAATGAATGAAGAAATGGGTACAATTCAGTAAATGCACTGCATTATATAAACTACATAATTAGCTACATATATTTAATTAGTAGGTTTGCACAAGGGTCACATTCATCTCTGAGTAATATCCCAAATGACAATAAGCC